ATAAGGGATGAAGACTTAACCCTGTCAACACAAGGAATAAGGGCCTACAACAATACTCATCGCCAAGCTCTTAGAAAAATCACTATGAATGTAACGGCGGGAGCAATAGAACATGCAACTACTTTCCAAGTAGTAGATATTAAGGCTTCCTTCAATTTATTTTTGGGATGCACTTGGCTTCATGACCTCAAGGTCGTCCCTTCATCTCTTCACCAACTGGTAAAAGCCATAGTTGGAGGAAACCCTATCACAATCGATGCTTCACCTATAAGGATTAAAGTTGTTGAAAATCCGATCATTAATGTGGAGCACGATGAGGACGATGAACTTGTGGGGCTTTAATGAAGAGATCTCCTTAATTGAGGAATATGAAAGGACCCCTCTTTGTCACGACCCCCACTCCAATATGACAGTAAATGCTATTCTAAAGAGACGAGGGCACTTTCCTGGAATGACTCTAGGAAAGAAAAAGGAGATAGCAAAACAGATGGAATTACCTGGCCTCCCTAAGTTAGATACTTTCGGACTTGGTTTTGAACCGACTCGGGGAGATCTTAAGCGAGCCTAGGAAGGTCTAAGGCGCGTAGGAACGCTCGCACCAAGAAGAAAGCAATCCCAATGGATTAATATCTTCTTACTCTCAACGGGAAGTTCATATGAGAAGGAGAGGACTATCCATGCTATAAATTTCCCGAACCTTTTATTGTAAATGGCATAAGGAAATCTGGGTTCAAAATCTTTCTAGATTGCTACTTTCTAGATGAGATCCCAACTCCTATTCACGAGGAGAAAGCACCCCCATGCTTTGACTTTAATGTCATGGGACTACTATATTGACAAGAAAAGGATGAGCCAAAATATATAGATGATAATTCCTCGCTCATCCAAACGGTCCTACAAAGCGAGAACTTTGACCCTTCGAAGCTCATCACTCCAGCGGAAGGGTTAGTACAAGGATGGCGCAAGACGGTCAAGGTGACTACTCCAAGTGGAAGGAAAATCTCCATAACAATAGGGCAAGGATCGATGTTTGAAGATTCGTCTAAGTCAGAGTGAGAGTCAGAGTCTTTTCCTGTAGAGTCTTCCGTGTCTTTAGCTATAACATCTCCTATTCCTCATTCTTCTATTTCTACTCCTAGGATAGTTAGTAATGAAGTCCCTGAGGACATTTCCTTTTTTGATATAATGATTTTAGAATACAATAATATGTCTTCTTCCGCTTATGATGAGTGACATTTATGTCACTCTTAGGGAGTAGTTTTAGAGTTAATTCTGTGTTTATTTTCCTTTATTTTCCCTTTTATTCTCTTGTTTTCTTTTTAATAACGTTTCTACTTTATTTCTTAGTTTTAGTATGTTTTATTTTAATTTCTTTATTTAATTGGTTTCTAGTTTATTTTCGTATTTTTAGTTAATAATTCCTAGTTTCTCTCTTTTTATTTATTTTCTTTTAGTTTCTTATTTGTTTTCTTTATTTTATGTTATTTCATTTAATTTTATTATTTCTTTAGTTTTAGTATTTTATTTTACTTTATTTATCTTATTTTATTTTATTTTATTTATCTTTTGATAATCCCCTCGTGTTTGGTTTTTGATTGTAGGTGTGTTCGGGTTGACGCTCGATTTCCATGTTCAAATCAAGTTCGAAATTCCGAGTTTAAGTCAAATGTGTCTTAGCCAAGCATCATGGTTGCTGCCCTAAGCTGCTCAAGTTGTTGCTGCCTCCTACACCTTCATACCACCACAACCAATTCCCTTGCTCCATCTCCACCACAATCAGCCACGCACCTGACAACCAGCTCACAACCTCCGCATCTACCAACCACTACCCCAACTGCAACAACAACAACAATCACAACCAATTGCACAGCCACCACAATCCTCTGCTCCCTCACTCAACTCAGCGCAACCACTTCCTCACTATCCTACACCACACTCACCTCGCAACAGCCCCTGTACCTCCCTCACCAACACGAGCTGCAACCACCACCACCTCCAATCAACCCAATTACCAACCACAACAACAACCCTTACACCACCGTCCACCTGCACTCGTAACTCCAACCAGCCATGCCACCAGTCCAACCTTCAATTACAGTAGCAGCCGCGCAATTTCCGGCCATCGCGCAACCCACAACAACAAACTGCCTACACCACCGTCAACAATCAGCACCAGCCGCGCTAGATCACCTTCTAACCCTCAATATCCAGCCACCGCACAACAACACCAGAACAACCCCTCAATTTCAGCCACCCAATCTCCTCATCCACCACAATTACTCAACCCTTCAATCAAGCACCCAAAATCAGATCAAATAGCAAATCAATCGGGTTCGAGCAAACCGTTGAGCGTTCGGTCGAAATGCCAAGAAGTGCCAAAAACAGTCAGGAACTTTTGAGGTTTTGTAATTTGAAGAGGTGTGGTCGAACTCACCCATGGTTCGACCGAACCAACCCCGTAGTTCGGCCACACCAACCCATGGTTCGACCGAACCATTTCACGAGCCTCGCACATGATATTTATGAGATCAAACGGTTGAGATTGCAGATGAAAGATGATGTCTGATGATTACCCTTGATGATTGTTGTTGATGGTTGATAAACGGTGGTGATGTGATGAAGAGGCGCTTCAATGGAGTTCAAGCAGCCAGGAAATCGAAGGAGATGAAAAAAAAAGTCTGATGTTTTTGGGGGATTTGTGGGTTTTATTTTTATTTCCTTTTATTTTATTTCCTTTTCTTTATTTCTTTTCCTTTTCTTATTTCTTTATTTATTTTATTTTCCCCTTTTATTTTCCCCTTTTATTTTCCTATTTTTTCCTAAGTTAGTATAAATACCCATTTTTGGGGTAATTAGAGATTATACAATTATCAATTATACTATTCTCTAATTAGTTTTTAGGAGAGCTTCTCTCTCTAGGTTTAGGTTAGGATTAGGGTAGTTTAGAGAGAGAAAGTAACGTTTTCACCATTGTTGAGTTTGGATTTTGAAGAAGAAATTGATCATCTTTTTCTATAGTCTTTCATCTTCAATCAATGAGAATCTCTAACTCTCTCTCCTCTATTTTTATTGCTTTCTTTTGATTATTATTTTAGTTGTTGGTATTACTTGTTATTAGTTGAGACGATTAATACAAGAGGGGGGTGAATTGTATTAAGTTCCTAATGACTACTTTTTGCGGAATAATAAACAATGCAGATAGGAACTTGCTAGAACACAGATTTTACGAGGAAACCTTCCAGGGCCCAACTGGAAGTAAAACCTCGACCCTGCCTTAGGGATTTCAAACACACAAACTCCAACACGGACCTTTATTTTCACAAGATCCTCACTGGACTTGCTACTTGATAGGACCCTATCCTACCCAATCTAAGTACCACACTTATATTCACTCGTAACACCAAAGTACTACACGTACTGCCAAAGTACAAACTACTTGCACCACCTAAGTACAGAACTCTCAGCCTCACCTCAAAGCTTACAAAACTGTATGTAAAGAAAACAATAAACTCACCCAAATAACCCAACCCAATACAAGTGAACGACACCTAGTATGATAGGTAAGCAATGCACGAAATCCGAAACTAATATGACAAGTTAGAAGCTTGGTAAACTTACTCAATTATAGCACTGTGATTTCTCCACGCATAAACTCACAAAAACCTAAAACCATTTTTCTCTCTACTATTTATACAAGTATCACTCGTATAGAAAGTAGGTTTTCTAAAAGATAAATAAGTTAACTTAACTTATCTTTAAACACGGTTTTATGTAAATCAAGTGGAATAAAATCTTTTCCGGAAAATAAGATTAAAAAGATATTTGTTAAAAAGATTTATCTTTTTAACAAATTGATTTAAAGAAAACAATCTTTTTAGAAAATCTTTTCCTAAAATCTATCTTTTATAATTTTCCATAACATTTTATTTACCAAGCCAACTTGTCACGCTTCTAATAAATTTCGTGCAATAACCTACTTATCATATTAACAATAATCTAGAAGATAAAAACCTTAACTAAATATAATTGCTGCGCCGCGCTTTTAATCAGGTAGATTACTTGGGCTCCAAGCTTATTAAGTTCCACCAAAGAACTTAAGCTTACTTTCTTCAAGTTCCTGTTAGGGAACGTTCCTGTTAGGGAACTCAATTCTTGTTAGAGAACTAGTTCTTATTAGAGAACTCTTCTTCTGATTTGTTTAACTCCTTCAATAAAGATCCTTTCATGTCTTCTTAGTTCCAGCTACTTCTTCCATCACCACGATCAACTTCACCTAAACTAATCAAACACTTGAAAACCTTTAATAGTTGAGTTTGTTTTGGTTTAAGTTCCTCATCATCAAAACATTTATGATTCAACAATTTCCCCCTTTTTGATGATAACAAACTTAAGCAAACTCTAGAAACAAGTTAAATAAAATAGAAGGTCGTATTTTTGTGTTTTTGGTTTATTGACAGAAAGTAAACACACACAGAAATAAAAACAGAAACAGAAAGAACAAAACAAAAACAAAAATAAACAAAGCAAATAAAACAGAAATAAACTAAACTACTATAAACTACTATAGCATCATATCAGAGAAATTTCTGATACTTTCTCATCTAGAACCCAGAACAACTTTAGCCTCCAAGTTTGCTTCTTCTTTTCCCCCTTTTGGCATTATCAAAAAGTCTTGTTTTTCAAGTTATTGAGCATCTAGCCACAGCCCCACAAGCAATTCATCGAGTGTGGGAAACTGAAGGCAGCGCTGCTAAGTTACCTTAAGCAAGTTCAACTTTCCTGCATAAGTGTTCATTACATACATATACACACAAGTATAAGAAAAGTTCCAACTATTCATTAAAACCAAAAGATTTATCATCCTGTTGAATAATTTTAGAAAATTTACAACCAAAATCAATTGTTCAAACACTAAAACAGAAATTAAAATTGTTCATGACTGAAATAGAGAAGCAGAAAATATGCTAGGCTTGGATATAGGCTGAAAAGGGTATGATAGGCTAGGTTTCAAGGAACTCCAGAATTTTCTTGTAGTCCTCCTTTGTTTGTTGTGAAGAAGCTGCCAGATTATCTTCAAGACTCTTGAGTTTCAGAAGAAACTCCTCCTTTTGTTCCTGTAGAGCCTTGTCCTGTTCTCGCTGAAACTTCTTTTGCTCTTGAAGTTTTTTGTCCTGTTTCAGCACCAGCTTCTTGAGCTCTATTAACTCCTTTCCCTGCTCCTGCACTAGCTTTTCCAGAGTTAACAACTGAAGTTTTCCAGCAGAATCCTTCATTTGCTTCTCAACCCTTTCCATCATGTCCACCAATTCTGCAACTTGCCCATCGAGGATACCCTCCTCAACATCCAACTCTAGAGGTTGTTCCATGCTTCTCTGAGGAACAGAACTGGCAGATATCCTCCTACTCTTCCTTACAGGCTGCTCAGACACCTCTTTCTCTTTTCTCTTCCCTGTCACCTTATCTTTCTTTTTCTCTCCCTTCTCTATTCTTTGAATTTTTCCTTTTACTACCTCTAAACTCAGTCCAGCTAGTGTTTCCTCATTTAGCACATTCTCTGGCTTCTCATCCAGAGCACCATACCTACCCTTCAGAACCACTCCAGCATTTTCAAACACAGTTGACAAAATGGCTCCATAGCCCACTTTTGTCCTACTTGGAATACAATGTGCTAAGTGTTGATACATCAACGCAGGGAAATTAACTTTAATTTTCTTAGATAGACAGAAAATTACAGCCATATCCATCAAGCATGCCTCTCCCTTCTTTGCAGTTCTTGGCAAAATGGTTTTCTTAACTAAGTTAAACAACAACTTGTTTAACGGGTTCAAATCATTGTGACTCATGATCTTCTTCCCCCTTTAACCACCTAGGGCTTCAACAATGTCACTAGTCAAGTAATTTCCTACTTTGACACTAGTTTTTCCCTTAATGTATGTTTCATACCCCTCAGTCGGAGTTTTTAGAATTTTACCTAGGGTTTCAACATTTAATTCAATTTTTACACCATCAACTACACAAGAAATTACCCCCAATTTTACTTGAAAATTTGACAGAACTCGGTCACAGCAATTGGATACAAATAGTTTGCTGAATCTTTTGACAACAAGTATTCCCAGCCTTGAAACTTAATCAAATCAAGAAACTCTAGGAATCTATCCTTCCTACACTAATCTAGATCAATACGATGTCCTATAACATACCTCCCTGCCTGTGACTCAAGTTCGGCCTGATCAGTTACCTCCTCTTCTTCATCTTCTTTTTCTGATTCTTCCTTTTCTGAAATGTTGGGTTCTTCTTTGTCTTACTCTCCCTCATTCATCTCTCCTCCTTCTTCGTCATCTTCTTTGGTCTCTTCTGAATGTTTTTCTTGAGCAAACTCGTCAACTTCTTCAATTTGCTCCTCAATAGACTTCTCTCTTTGTTTCTTTCTTTCCACTCTTTCAGCCTTTGAAGGACACTCGAAACAAATGACTCTTCTTGATCATTCTTAGTTTCCACTTCTGTAGGTTTTGGAGATGAGGTTTTAGGATTCTTAGGGGCTTTTGTTGAAGTTGAAGAAGGTTTGTAGTTCACCATGGCTAAAGGCGATGTTTCCTCTTGAATGGTGTTTTCAAAGCTTTGAGAGTTTTCTGATGAGACGATTTCAGCAATGATGACCATTGTTGTTCTAGAGATGGTTTTTAAAATTCAAGAGGGTTTTTACTGGAAAGAGGTTAATTGATTTGACAATGAGGTGAAAGAGGTAGGTGAAATCAGCTTTTAAAATTAATGAAGCGGTGTGAGGGATTTGAAAAGATTTCACTATTCAGTCATTAATTGATCAAATTCAATTAATTTTTCCAATTTAAATTCACAGGATGAATTTGCCAAAATACTTTTCTTTCCAAATTCATTAAATTTAAAAGAAACTTTCTATAAATACACAATTAAAACACGCTTTTTACATATGTGCAATGTACATATTTAATAACTTACACAGTTAAGCAATTTAATGAACTTACCTTTAGTAATTAACAACGGTGACACTTCAGTTATGTTTAGCACACCATAATTGTGCTAAATGCTCTTTTTGCTCTATTTCCAATATTTTTGACTTTGCCATATCTAGGAACTTCAAAAGCAATCAATTCAGCTTGATCATCCCAAGTTCCAGACTCAATTTCTCAAATCTTTCTCTGTTCAAGGGTTTGGTCAAAATATCTACAAGTTGATATTCCGTATTACAAAATTTCAATTTAATATTCCCTTGTTCCACATTATCTTTTAGAAAGTGATGCCTAATGTGGATGTGTTTTACCTTAGAGTGCTGAACTGGATCCTTAGAAATACATATAGCACTGCTGTTGTCACAGTATATAGGCACACACTCAAAAATAAGACCAAAATCTCTAACCTATTGCTTTATCTAGAGTACTTGTGAACAACATGTTGCTGTTTCCACGTACTCAGCTTCAGCCGTAGATAATGCAACTGTGTTTTGCTTCTTGGAACCCTAGGAAACTAAACAAGGTCCTAAAAACTGTACCATACCTGAAGTGCATTTTCCATTAACCAAATCACCTGCATAGTCAGCATTAGTAAAGCCATTTAAATCAAATGAGTCACTTTTAGGATAGAAGAGACACAAGTCATCAATTCCTTTCAAGTATCTAAGGATTCTCTTTACTGCTTTCAGATGAGACTCCTTTGGGTTTGCTTGGAACCTAGCACACAAACCTACACTGAAAGATATGTCAGGTCTACTAGCTGTTAAGTAAAGTAGAGATCCTATCATTCCTTGATACATAGGTTGATCAATACAAGTTCCAGTTGGATCTTCATCCAATCTAGTTGCTAAACCCATTGGAGTATCATTGGTCTTAGCATTTCAAGCTTTTATTTCTTGATCAGTTCCTTAATATACTTTTGTTAATGGATCATGATTCCTTCTTCAGTTTGCTTGATTTGCAATCCAAGGAAGAAATTTAATTCTCCCATCATGCTCATTTCAAACTCTTCACTCATAAGGTCAGCAAAATACTTGCACAAAGATTCATTAGTTGCACCAAATAAAATATCATCAACATATATTTGTACAAATAGGATATCAGTTCCATTTGATTTCAAAAATAAAGTTTTATCTATTTTGCCTCGTTTAAAATCATTTTTCAAAAGAACTTTGATAACCTTTCATACCATGCTCTAGGGCTTGCTTCAACCCATAAAGAGCTTTGTCAAGCTTATAGACATGGTTTGGGAACTCCTGACTTTCAAATCCAGGAGGTTGTTCCACATAGACCTCTTCATTTAGAAATCCATTTTAAAAAGCACATTTAACATCCATCTGGAACAACGTGAATCCCATATAAGCAGCAAGAGAATAAGTAAACGAATAGCCTCTAACCTGGCTACTGGAGCAAATGTTTCTTCAAAGTCTATTCCTTCTTGTTGATTGAGACCTTGTACGACAGGTCTTGCTTTGTTTCTGACAATAATCCCATGCTCATCTAGCTTATTTTTGAACACCCACTTTAAACCTATAGTCTTCTTATTATTGGGTCTAGGTTCTAGATGCCAGACTTTATTTCTTTCAAACTCATTTAGTTCAGCTTGCATAGCATTAATCCAGTCTGCGTCAGTTAAAGCTTCAACATAGTTCTTAGGTTCCATAGAAGAGAGGAATGCATCGAATGCACAGAAGTTTCTAAGCTGAGATCTGGTCTGAGTTCCTTTTATAATATCACTCATGATTGCATCTACAGGATGTGACTTATGATATTTCCATTGCTTAGGTGTAAAATCCTTTACTGGATACAATCTTTCCTGATCATTGTTGACTGGTTCTTCTGTAGGAACTCGTTCTTGAGCCTCAGTTTGAACTTCAACAGGATCTTCCTCATTCTGATTTTGATTCTGTTCTTGAGGAGGAGTTCCTGGTGCATTCTCCATTTCTTTATCTTCATTTGCTTCAGGATTCGTTTGCTCAACAATTTTAACTTGCTGCTTCTGCAATGATGTTGATTCTTCTTCTAGATCTGTCTTGCGTACAAGTCCAATTTCAAAATCATCATCACAATCCTGTACATCATTCAATTGTTCAGTTTCATCAATATGATATGTACAAATTCCTCAACACACATTGTCCTTTTATTATAAACTCTATATGATTTACTATTAGAGGCATATCCTAAGAATACTGCCTCATCACTATGTTCATCAAACTTTCCTAAGTTTCTTTTAACATTATTATGAACAAAGCATTTACAACCAAAAGATCTAAAGTAAGAAATATTAGACTTTCTCCCTTTGATTAGCTCATAAGGAGTTTTGTTGGTGATGGCTCTAACTGATACTCTATTAAGAATATAGCATGTTGTATTCACTGCTTCTGCCCAGAAGTTCCAAGGCAAACCACTTGAGATCAGCATTGTTCTATCCATGTCTTCAAGGCTTCTATTCTTGCGTTCCACCACTCCACTTTGTTGTGGGGTCCTTGGGGCAGAGAAGTTGAGATCCATTCCATGCTCAGTGAAAAATTCATCAAATTTTGAATTTTCAAATTCAGTTCCATGGTCTGATCTGAGATGAATCAGTGGATTACCTGTTCTTCTCTGTTCTTTCTTTACAAAAGCTACAAATTCATCAAACGTTTCATCTCTACTAACAAGAAAGAAAACCTAAGTAAACCTTGAAAATTCATCAACAATAACCACAACATATCTCTTACCAATTCTGATTTAGATTCTCATAGAACCACATAGATCCATATGAACAAGTTCCAAATGTCTTTTGGTGCTTACCATTTTCTTAGACTTAAAATAAATTCGAGTCTGTTTTCCTCTAACAGAAGCATCATACACTTTGTCATACAGAAACTTAATGCAAGGAAGTCCTTCCACTAGTTCCTTAGATCTCAATTTATCATGTAAAGTAAAGCTTGCAAGGACAAATCTCTTGTGCCATAATAGAGGATCATTCTCAATGATACTAAGACATGTTAAACTGCTATTAGGAACCTCGTTAAGATCCACAACATATGTGTTCCCATTACGAGTTTCTTCTAAAATAATGTTCCCAGTGTCATTGTGAATGATTCTGCACTTATTAGAAGTAAATCTTACAGAGTTACCTTTGTCACAAAATTGTGAAATACTTAACAAGTTGTGCTTGAGGCCCTCGATCAAAAATACATTCTCAATTGCATGGGAACTTGACCTTCCTACTTTGCCAATAGCAACTATATCTCCTGTCATGTTATCACCAAAGGTCACAGTTCCCCCATAGTAGGCATCTAGTGAGAGAAATCTAGATTTATCTCCAGTCATGTGCTTAGAACAACCACTTTCGAGGTACCAAGTGTTGTTTTCCCTCACTGGAACCTGCATGAGAAATCAAATGTTAGTTTCAGGAACCTAGGTTTCCTTGGGTTCCTGTGTAACAACAGCAGGTTCATCATTCTTCTTGATCCAAATATGTTCTACATGTTTTTCATTTTTCTGTGTACTCTTTTCTTTCTTAGGACACTTAACCTGTTTGTGTCCAGTATTGCCACTGAAATAACAAACAATACTACTAGGCAGGTCAACATAATTCTTTTCCTTTTGGAACTTCTTTTTGAAACCCAAACCTTCTGTTCTTTTAGTTTGAGCTTTGGTGATCCAATCTGGAACTCTGTATCCTACAGGTTGTTTACCTTTCCTGGATTTCTCAAGTTCCCCCTCAAGTCTTACCTTATCCGCTTTTATATCTTCTAAATTAGATTTTAGTTTTTCAAAATTCGGATATTGAGCAAGTGGAGGAACTTTAGAATCAGAAGTATCAAGACAGAGTTTCATCAAGGATAGTTCCACATTTAACATTATGTTATCATGTTTCAACCTGTCTATAGTTTCTTTCAAATAATCATTATCATCAAACAGACTAAAGAATCTATATTGAATATCAAATTTCATATTATCAACCCACTCACTATTTTCTTTAAAAGTTACCAAAGCTTCATCACTTTGCTGTTTAGCTCTATGCAATTCTTTCAATTCTTCTAGAATTTCTAAAACAACAAATATTAAGTTTTCTTTAGATAAATGTCTAAGTTCTTTTTGAGAAAACCATACCTGAGATTCTAGTTCCTTCAGTTTTTCTTTTTCATCAGTTTTTGCCATCAAGCATAGATGCGCAGTTCTTCTGACGGTTGATCTTCCTCTTCTTCTGAATCTGAATCTCCCCAAGCAGCCAGCATGGCTTTCTTCACATTGTCCTTGATAAATTAAGGCTTATAGACTCTTGATTCTTTGGATTGCTCCTTGCCCTTTTTCTTTCCTTTCTCACCATTTGGTAGTGGACAATCTTTGATGAAGTGATCTTTAGACCCACATTTGAAACAAGTTGTGTTTCTAGAACTTGCATACTTCTTGTTCCTATCAAACTTCTTGTAGTTCATCATCCTTTTGAACTTTCTAACTAGCATTGCCATTTCTTCCTCATCAGCTTCCGATTCCTCTGAGTCTTGAGCCTTAAGAACAAGACTCTTGTTCTTGGAACTTTCAGTATTGGAACTCAGGTGAAGTTCATGAGTCATCAATGATCCAACTAGTTGTTCCATGTTAAACTTCGTGAAGTCCTTGGCTTCTTGCATGGCAGTAACCTTGGATCTCCATCGCTCATCTTGTGGTAGGCTCCTTAAGATCTTTCTTTCCTGTTCATCAATAGGAATGTGTCTGCCAAGGGAATTCAATTCATTAATAATATCATTGAACCTAGTAAACATTTCCTCTATAGATTCCTTTGATTTCATTTCAAACCTTTCATATCTAGACATTAATAAATCAATCTTAGAACGTTTTACCTCATTAGTACCTTCATGAGTTACCTCTAGTAGATCCCAAATCTGTTTAGCAGACTTGCATCCCATGATACGATTATGTTCATGAGGTCCAAGTCCACAGTGCAAATACTTTATGGCTAAAGCATTCAATTCAAGTTTATGATAATATTCCTTATCATAATCAGAAATAAGTTTAGGAACTACCTCGTTCTTATCACTGGTTACAGTTATTGCAAAATCACCAGTTTCAATAACACGCCAAACCTGGTAATTTTCAACCTTGATAAAGATCTCCACCCTGTTCTTCTAGTAGGTGTAAAACTTACCATTGAACATGGGTGGACGTTGGGTAGAATACCCTTCTTCAAGTTTCTCCTTGTAATTCATCTCTCCAGGAACTTACTCAGTAAAGTTATCTGCTTACACATGAGAACCTTGCTCAGATACCAATTGTTAGTTGAGACGATTAATACAAGAGGGGGGTGAATTGTATTGAGTTCCTAATGACTATTTTTTGCGGAATAATAAACAATGCATATAGGAACTTGCTAGAACACACATATTTTACGAGGAAACCATCCAGGGCCCAACTGGAAGTAAAACCTCAACTCTTCCTTAGGGATTTCAAACACACAAACTCCACTATAATAGGGCAAACACCAATTTACAACCTATTAGACACGGACCTTTATTTTCACAAGATCCTCATTGGACTTGCTACTTGATAGGACCCTATCCTACCCAATATAAGTACCACACTTAGATTCACTTTTACCACCAAAGTATTACACGTACTGCCAAAGTACAAACTACTTGCACCACCTAAGTACAGAACTCTCAGCCTCACCTCAAAGCTTACAAAGCTGTATGTAAAGTAAACAATAAACTCACCCAAATAACCCATCCCAATACAAGTGAACGACACCTAGTATGATAGGTAAGCAATGCACGAAACCCGAAACTAATATGACAAGTTAGAAGCTTGGTAAACTTACTCAATTATAGCACTGTGATTCCTCCACGCATAAACTCACAAAAATCTAAAACCATTTTGCTCTCTACTATTTATACAAGTATCACTCATATAGAAAGTAGGTTTTCTAAAAGATAAATAAGTTAACTTAACTTATCTTTAAACATGATTTTATGTAAATCAAGTGGAATAAAATCTTTTCTGAAAAATAAGATTAAAAAGATATTTGTTAAAAAGATTTATCTTTTTAACAAACTGATTTAAAGAAAACAATCTTTTTAGAAAATCTTTTCCTAAAATCTATCTTTTATAATTTTCCATATCATTTTATTTACGAATCCAACTTTTCACGCTTCTAATAAATTTTGCGCAATAACCTACTTATCATATTTACAACTGTAGACACCTAAAAATGTCTCCCCAAAACCAAACCCGATGATGAACAACCTTTCACCGCCATTATTGGTCGGGTTGCGTATTTAATTTTTGGAGTGCTTAAATCCATATTTCTATTTCATAAACCAACCCAATTCCTAGCCCATTTCCCCAAAACATAACTTATTTTCCTCTTTTCGTGCCTTTAAACCCAAAATAATTCATTTCGTGTCCTTTAAAATCATTGATTTCGTGTCCTTTTTATAAAAACGTTTGACCTAGTTTATTTTGGTCCATTATCTGGGTTCAATGATTTAATAATTGGATGGGGATTTAAAACATATTTCCAATGATATATTATAAGCCCAAATCCGAGTTATAAAGAATAAGTTATGGTCAAAATATTAAGCCGAGTACAAACCAAACCTAAGCCCACCTTACCTACGACCAAATGATCATGTGGAGAGTCCAAATGATTTAATCCAATTCCTAAACCAATTAGGATTAATTGGAAGCTTATATAAGTTTCTAAAAGATCCTAATTATCCGTTTTGAAAAGATAAGATTAAAGAGTTTGAAATTGAATAAAACTTTTCTTTTTGAAAATCCTATTTCTATCCGAATTGAAAGACATTCAAAGATAGACAGACATTATTTTCGTGACTCATATTTTTTATCCAAGTTTTATATGGTTTGATAGCCCTTGAAATTATCTTTCCAATGATATATTATAATATCAATTCTGAGCTATAACGGAAAAGATAAGAATAAAATGTCAAACTCTATCCAAAACTGACACTGTCTCACTATTTCGGCTATATCTTTTTTTATACAAAATATTTTAATCTGATTCTAATTGGGTTAGAAAATACACTTAAAGATATTTCCAACGATATCTTATTCATCTTATTTTGATTTCTGGATCAAAAGATATGATAAAAACAAAAACCGTAAAAACTGTTGTCTATCACAAGAGTTTTATCCGATTCGAATTCATATCTTTTCTTGATTCGACCCCTCTTTTTTCCTTATAAATAGAGGTCATATCTCCCATTTTTCAATCATCAACAAGCTTGATCACAAAATAATTCTCTTCTCCCTCTTTAGCCTAAATACTAGCCTCCCTATTCTTCCATAATACTTCCCCTAAGCACTACAAGGAATCCATACAATACCCAAAGTTCTATACTTAAAACAAGGCGTGAAAGGTATAATTGAATGAGGGTTTGGAACAAATCAAATCTACCTTAATTTAATTTAATTTTCATTTTCTTTATATTTTTATTGAAGTTACTAACAATTCATTCATGATGTAGCAATTCAAGGAAGCTCGGAAAGTGAGTAATTAATCACTTAATTACTCTTATTTTTATTCTTGTTTCTAGTATCATGATTAGATTTATTTATTATTTGATTTGAATAACATTATTACTGTTGAATTGCTTCCAATATTAATGTTTATTCTATTATTATTTATTGATCACCATATTCCATATTAAAGGGAATATGTAATTGAAAATCACGCCTAATAAGATAATTTGGACAACCGGTTTAGGTTCCTTTTTAATCTTATTGTTTAATCAAGTGGTCATGATATTTTAGAATTATATGTTGCATTAATAATCAATCAATTTAACATAATAATAGTTTGGAGAAAATTGAATCTTTGTTTTATGCCTTTAAGATCGCAGGAATCATTTTTCACTATAAAAATCGAGTAGAGGCCAATACGGGCGAATGTGACTCCATGACTCACTTCGTACCATCATCCCCGATCCTCATTTCGTGGTTCCGAACCATATGGAGTTAGTAATCTCATGGATTATGAATGGGGTGTAACCTTCACGGGTCAATCGCTGTTGCCTATCGTTGTCCCTTAATCGTGGTTGCCTTTTATGATCCGTGAACGGTTTACAAGTTCCTTAAAAACTTTTTGGCGGCTCCCTACTTTGCTTTGTCCCTAATAGTAATGTCAATTCCCACTTCCTATGATTGCCAAGCATATTCACCACATGCTTTTTACGTAGGCGCACTTCGAGCGACGCCTACAACAATAATCTAGAAGATAAAAACCTTAACTAAATATAATTGCTGCGCCGCGCTTTTAATCAGGTAGATTACTTGGGCTCCAAGCTTATTAAGTTCCACCAAAGAACTTAAGCTTGCGGTCTTCAAGTTCCTGTTAGGGAACATTCCTGTTAGGGAACTCAATTCTTGTTAGAGAACTCTTCTTCTGATTTGTTTAACCCCTTCAATAAAGATCTTTTCATGTTTTCTTAGTTCCAGCTACTTCTTCCATCACCACGATCAACTTCAACTAAACTAATTAAACACTTGAAAACCTTTATTAGTTGAGTTTGCTTTGGTTTAAGTTCCTCATCATTAAAACCTTTATGCTTCAGCACTTGTTAATCATGTTTATTCTTGATTATTTGTTAATTAATCTTGTTATTAGCATGATTAGTGAGTAATTCCCCCATTAAGGGGATGGTTGTGGTGTAGTTGGATCTTGAGGATGTTCTAGGTTTTAGAATTGATTTATTTGTGATTAAAGTCTTTATATCCTTGATATTCTTTAATCTTCTTGCAAGTTCACATTGTTGGTTGATTAAAGGTGAATCTTTGCTAACAAGGAACGGAAGTTGACTTAGCTAGGGTTCATTATTATCGATTATTATTTAATAGTACCTCCTAGTATATGGTTCTAATGTGCAACCATAGAGGCTATGTTAGGAAAAGCCAATTGACCCCGGAAGGCGGCTAGATTGGATCCTTTACTTCGATATTCGAGCATGTTTAGTTCATAATTAATTCAATTTCTATGCCTTTGTTTATGTTCAAGTGAATGCTATATCTAAACCATTGCCCTTAATGTTTTATTTCTTGTTTTAGCATCTTTAGACTTTAGTTTATTTATCTCTTATTCCGGACTATCTTAATTGTCAATAACATTTGGTGGTGTTTATTCGTTCTCTGTGGTTCGACCCCTA